TGTACGCGATCGTTGTCATCAGACAGGGTTGGTATTGCCGGTGTCACAGCGATCTAGCCCCCCTCCCAGCGATTTCGCCCTCCCGTGGGGTGTGAGATCGTTAGCGATGCCCCTGCCGCCCGTTAGTTAGTCTCCTCTTTTACACCGTACCACAGGTATGACAGGTACACAAATTTGAGTAACAATTTGAGTAACTAATTGCTGGTTCGGTTGAAGCAAGAAAGTAACCTCCTCGGTTGAAGTATTACTCATTGCTATGCTCAACAGCAAAGGCATCTCAACAACGCAGGATTTGAGCTGATGTATGCTTAAAGTTTCATTGGTAAAATAATTTTGAGAGTGTATACATGTGCATCGTGCATGATATTCCAATCACAAAATCAAGGGCTGATTACACAAATCCAAATTTGGTTGCTCAGCGATCGCTGTCCAGTGGAAACAGGCACTGGGCAACAAGTACAATCTAAACGGTGCGAATACACAGGGAGTTTTTCTTTTACAGCCAAGGAGGTTCAATCAACCTCCACGGAAGACCCGTGAATGGGAGAAACAGGAGAAGCCTGTTCTTTCAGCACCAAGGACAGGGCTCAGCAAGGGTGGTTGTGATGATTCAGATTCAGATTAAGCTATAATAATTTCATTTGAACAATCTGAACGGTGCGAACACCCATGCATGGAGGTTTTTTTTACACCCACCGAGGAGGTTCAATCAACCTCCCCGGAGACCCATGACTGGGAGAAACAGGAGAAGACTGACATTTCAGCACCAAGGACAGGGCCCAGCAAGGGTGATTGCGATGATTCAGATTCAGCTATAATAATTCCATTTGAACAATCTGAACGGTGCGAACACCCATGCCTGGAGTTGTTTTTTTTTATTACACCCACCGAGGAGGTTCAATCAACCTTCCCCGGAGAAATGAGAGAAGACTGTCCTTTCAGCACCAAGGACAGGGCCCAGCAAGGGTGACTGTGATGACTAAGATATGATGATTTGATTTGAACAATCTGAACGGTGCGAACACCCGGAGATTTTTGTTGCGCCCACGGTCAGGGTGGTTCAATCAACTTCCTGGGGAGACCCTGGATGAGGAGAGGAGTAGATGACGCAAAGGTGATAGCCTCCTTTGCAGACGTTCCGGGATCGGCTGTTGTTGTTTTTTTTTTTTT